GAGGTTTCTGATTGGCTGGTGAAATTACCTCTCGACAGCACAACAGGAGGATTATGTCATCATTTTCCTCCACCTTCCAAAGGTGGAGGAGGCTGGATAAATATATCGAGTTTCTAGAGAGAAAGCACTCATTGCCAACGTAGTCGCTCTGGCCGCATGCAGTCGGCACGGAGATGAGGTACTACAGCGACGTACAGTGAGTGTGTACATTTTGAGAGGTTGCTCTATGACTCTACTTGTGAGGGGTGGTTTCCAGAGCATCTTCGGTGTTCTAAGGCGTCGTTTCTTGCTATTGCAAAGCTGTTAAAGTTACGTGGTATTTTGTTCGCAAACGCTGTGGTCAAGCAGCACTCGTACGAGAAGAAAATTGCAGCAGCTCTCTACTTTTTTGCGTCGTCTGGTGGCTACCGAGAAACTGCGACAGCAATGGGAATGAACAAAAGCTACGTGATTGACATCGTGGACGAAGTTGCTCGCGTTTTGTATGTAGTTTCGAAAAAGGCCGTGTCATTTCCTCGTGATCTAGATGGTTGGGATGCAGTTCAGAAGGATTTCATGGTGCGTTGTGGGTATCCTGGTGTAGTTGGGGCAGTCGACGGATCGCTGCTCGAAATAGATCGGCCGGAGGACTACGAAGGATTTTACTGTCGAAAAGGCTATCCTGCTATAAATATTCAAGCTATAGTAACAGCCAGCAACAAGTTCATGAGTGTGGAGATACGTCCTGGTTCATGGTCGGATAGTAAATGCTGGAAGCATAGTATAATTGGACGCAATGCTTGTTCAGTTATCCCTGCTGGCACTCATTTCATCGGTGACTCTGGCTACGCATTGCTGCCATATCTTATGGTACCGTATGCAGAGCGGGAAGAAGGTGGGGAGTTGAATTCGCAGCAACGTCGGTACAATTTTCTTCACTCGAGCACTCGCATGGCAATAGAGTGCACGTTTGGCCTCTGGAAGGGCCGTTTTCGCGTATTGCAGGCTGTGATGGATGAGAAGACACTGATTAAAACAATGCACGTGGTTATGGCGACGATTGTCTTTCACAATTTGGTGCTGGACTTGAACGATGACACACAGACAACATCATTTGTTGAGACCTCTGAAAATGAGATGGTGGTGGTGGACGAACGCTACACTGCAGACGCCACCATATTTTGCAAAGTTGGAAAGGAAAAGCGCAACGGAATTGCTGACATTATTTGTTAATGAAATCTTAACTTTGCTGCGTTGAAGTGTTATTGTTCAGGCTCGGGTGTTGTTGGTTTCTGGTATCGGTGTTTGCTGCAGTGACCAGGTGGACTAATTGAGTGAGTATATTTGTTTGCGCCTGAACACTTTCCGTCAATGTATGCAGCGACTGCAAAATCGCATTGTTAGTGTTCGTAGTGGCTGGTGGAGCAGGTGCTTTTGAAGCTGTAAAGGCTTCTGCAATTTCCAGCATGCCGTCATGTTCGGCAAGCATGCCTTCCGCCAGTGTCACAGTTTTGTGACGCTTTGATGGGCGATTAGCTCGCCAGCCTTGACGACGATCGCTTGACGACGTGTCACTACCTGTTCTCTGTCGCCCTATACCCGCTTCATCTTGCCCTGACGAGCTATTTAGTCCCTCCGTATTGCCAGTGTTGTCTGCAGCGTTTTCCGCAGTATTATCAGGCGCCGGCTGTTGTTGTAGACGTGTATCACTTGAATAGAAAGCTTCACTTTGCATGCCTGTCATATTTCCCCACACCTCACACATTGTCCCGTAGCAGGCAGGCTCTCGAAGGGAAATCTCAGTTCTGCTGCCGGTGTCACATTGATCAACGCGATATTCTGTATACTGTTTCTGCATGTATTTAATCTTCGCATAATTAAATAGCAACAGCAAGTTAGCACAAGCCAAGCACATAAATAAATTGACACATACACTCCACCTAGGATTTACACTGTGTCGGGCTCACCACTATGCCACCAAGACGAGAAACTTCAGCTGCAACCATGATCCAGGCTGCTCTTAGCTGAGCGGAGCTCTTTGCACCACCGAACCGATACGCCATTGACTCGAAACGAACTCTAAGAAGAGCATCAGCTGCGCGTGTTGTCCACGCAAACGGCTCTTCGCTAACGCCTTCGGGCGCAGGTTGCGAGACTTCTGTCTCCGTTGACGGATCTCGTGGTTGACTAGTTCGCGAGCTCAAATTCTCCAACTCTGAACCCTCTGGCGATGCCTGCGCTAGCTGAAGCGAGTTCTGCTGCGACCACGAGTTGATCTGTGAGGCTCCAAAGACTGGGGATTCCTGTTGGGACTGAGAAAGCGAAGATACAGATTCACTTGTCTGTACTGGTCGCCGCTGATACAGCCTGGAAGGGCGACGCCTCATGACTTTCCTATCAAAGCGTCTTTGGGTCTCAGGGGGGGGGGGGGGTGAATGCATATTGCGTAGACGGCGTTGAGTGGAGGTCTAACCCTTTAACTACCAAACATTTTTGGACCCCTACCAGATCCAGTCAAATTGCTTACATTCAAAATTTCAACAGGAATTTAACCAATCCAAATGTTTCTATCTTAGTGCCACTCCCTGTGCGAATTATACACTTCAGTCTGAAATCGTTGCTGCTGTTACAACAGGTTCCATGGAACCCACAGGAGACGAGCTGTGCTGTTGGTGTGGACGCTCCCCTTGCGAGTGGGAGTGGTGTGAGGAGGAGATATGGCTGACTGCAGGAAGGCTGCAAGGAAAGCTACACCTGCGGAAACACAGGAACAGAGTGCTGCGGCAAACACTAGGGCGTTTATATCTACCAAAAAGACGGAAATATAAGCGGCCCGATTCCTGCCTGTATCGCTAGGAAACTCAAGCAGTACTGGCCCAATTCTCCACGAAAGTAAGCAAATGTGATGAATTCAGTCTTCTGGAAGTTTGAGCCTCTCAACTGGTGTGATTGTCCTATTGCTCTTTTGTGTGTAAAGGTCACCGGTTCAGCAGTTGAAGCCCGGCAAATCGCCTCCAGCGCGCTCCGCAATTGAGGTGAGTTTGTCATTACAGCGTGGTTATGAAAAGCTGTGAAACACTCGACGTGGAACCCGACCTCACACTTTGTGCATCCATATTTTGCCTTCTTCTTGATGTTGCG